GCACCAAAACCATAGATGAACATACTGGACATAATTGGATGTTCTTATAAATTATAAATAAAAATAATGGTAAATGATTAGTGATAACTTAAGTGATCAATGATCTCCCTTTTTAATAAAAACCCCTCTTCAAAACTCTCGATACAATAAAATATTTAATTGCGAAAAATTGTCAGACTTTTACACCTCACAACCTTTTCAAAAATTTAATAATAATCAAGAAAAATCTTACAAGTTTGTTTTCCGCCCAACGTAAACAGTTGTGCGTAGGTGGGTATCTGTGATCCAAACTTTTTTTTCAAGGTAATAAAGTTTGAAACTTATTTTTTTTATCTTTTTAGACAAGAAAAACGAGCAATATACCAAAACTTTAAACCACAGCAGCCGCAATAAAAGGGCAAAAAGTCTATTTGACGGTGAGTATTATTGAATAAGACATAAATAGTTTGATAGAATAGATAACATCATAATGCATTACTGGAATTTGAACGGATATAATACCAAGTTGCTTGCAGTTTTCAAATGAACACTGAAGGCCGAGATCCGGAAATTCCATAACTATACATACATTGTTTCAGCTCTGGGATTTTTGTATTCAGTAAGGGTTACACGAATATTTATAGCCCGCATTTTTTTAGTAATTATTTATTAACTATTGAATAACGATAAGCGGAAGCTATTCCCGCTATATTTTTAATGTAAAAAAAATCTATATAAATGTTGTAAAGGTTCTGATTTTTTTTTAATTCAAATCATATACTAGCCACACTATTATTACCATAAAAAAGTTTACCGGCATTACCACCGCAACTAATTCATTAAAAATGCAATTGAACGTACCGTTCGAATACGAATCCGAAACCAAGGACTTCGACTTTGAAAAATATTACTATTATTTTATAAAAACCAATCCAAACGTTTGTTATGGGGATAAAGATGCTTTACAGCTTATTAAAAAATACGCTGTAAAAAGCAAATACGAGTATCTTCATCCATCATCGTTTGATTCTAGTAGTCATTACGTTCGCGCCTTAAAAGACGATGTTTTTGGTGA